TGGTTCTCAGGCCTGCGACACAGTTGGCATCCTGGGACTTACCTTCATTGCTTTTCTGAGTTAGTTCCACAGTTCATAGAGCCAACCTGTTCCAATTTCTTGGATAACTTCCTTGTTTTCTCAAGTAACATCCTAAAAAAGAGTATTTGGGAGACAAAGCTTTCTCAGTTTATATTTAATTTCCTTTTTCATTCTGCCCTATATTTTATCAATAGTTTTGCTTGGTACAGAATTTCAAGTTATTGATTTCCTCGTGGAACTCTCTGGGGATTGCTTATCTCCGAATATCCAGTCCTGGTGAGGAGAAGCCAATTGCCAGCTGATTCCTATTCCTTGGTGGAGGATCTCTATTTGCTCTCTGGAAGCTTTCAGAATCTTCTCTTTATTCTTGCCATCCTTAAAGTTCATGATATGCCTACAAGTAGACTTTTTCCTTTTTCCTGCTCAGAACTTAGGTCTTATACAATTACTAGAGGCCTGGTGCATGAAATTTGTGCACAGGTAGGTCCCTAGGCCTGGCCGGTGATCAGGGCCAGGCTGGCCTGGGGCCTGCGAGCTGGGGGCAGCTCCTTTGTTGATCTTCTGCCCCCTGGTGGTCAGTGAGCGTCATAGCGACCGGTCGTTCTGCCATTGGGTCAATTTGCATATTAGGTTTTTATTATATAGGACTAGAGGCCCGATGCACGAAATTCATGCAAGGGGCTCAGCCCTTGCAGCCCTGGCTTTGTCCGGAAGGTCGTTTGGCTGTCTGGTCTAATTAGCATATTACGCTTTTATTATTATAGATACTTGTGTCTCCCGTTATTCTGAATTTTTTTTTCTTGTAAGTTTCATCCAACCATTTTCTCTATTTTCACTTTCTGGCACTTCTTTTCTATGTTAAAACCTCCATCGATTCTGTAGGACTGACCCTGTCATATATATTTTTTTGTTTCTTGACTATTATTCTCTCCTTTTCTCTTGTACTAATGTACCTAGAGCTTCCAAGTGGACTTTGCAGGCAAGGAGACAGAGAAATGAGTGGCAACTGTTGGGAAGGAAGTCTTCCTCTATCCTAAGCTGCTGTGGCCGGGCTAACAAACTGGTATGGGACAGATTAGCAAGCAGATAAATCAACGTTTCATAACATGTGCACCTCCTGTATGCACGGAGAGACCGGGAAACACTGAGGAAGTCACCAAATGGTGGAAGTCATCACCCTAAATACCACCTTCAACTAAGGACAGAAGAAGCTGGGGTGGAGTCAGGTGTGGGGCTACCAGGAAAAGCACAGTGAACAGGTAAGGTTGCTAGGGATGAAGTTCCTGCTTCTCCACTGACAGAGGGCAGGCGGGGACTGGAGCCCTTGCAGAAGCACATGCGCTTTTCTATTTTAATTTATTAAATTAGAGGGAGTGGAAGGGAGAAGGGCAGAGACAAAAACAATGATGTGAGAGCAGAACATCACGGCTTTCCACATGTGCTCCGTGTGCCCCCACTGGGACTCAAACTGGCAACCTTTCTGTGCACAGAAGTCACAGCAGCCAGGGATATTTATTTATTCCTCAATCTTCACCTGAGGCTATGTTTTGATTGATTGAGAGAGAAACATCCACCTGCTGCCTCTCCTAGGAGCCCAACCTGGGTGAAACCAGCAACCTTTATTTTTAATTTAAATTTAAAAAATGCACCTTTATTTATTACCTTTTAGAGAGGAAGGGAGAGGGAGATAGAAACAATAGGAGAGAAACATTGATCGGCTGCCTCCTGCACGCCCCCTACTGGGGATCAAGCCTGCAACCCAGACATGTGCCCTGACTAGGAATCAAAGGGCGACCTGCAGGTTCATAGGTCAACACTCAACCACTGAGCCACACCAGCCGGAACCACAACTCTTTTAAATTCTCACCTGAGGATATTTTTTCCACTGCTTTTCAGAGAGTGGAAGGGAGGGAGGGAGGAACATCACCCGCTGCCTCCCAAAGGCACCACAACCTGGGCAAGGAGCTAACCTGCAACCCAGGTTCGTGCCCTTGACCAGGAATCGAGCCCGGGACCTTCGGTGCTGGGAGGACGCTCCAACCACCCACCCACCAGCCAGCCACCGGCTGCGCCGCGGGGCGACGCTGCTTTCAGGGGTCCCTGCTCCCGCGCTGTCTCCCAGGTGGGCTGGTCTTGACGTCACGAAGACTCGCCAGCCCCCGCCGGCTCCCTGCAGGCGGCCCCGCGGGCTCCCCCACCCTGCACACCGGCCTC